GTAAAACTAAGGTGTGAGACTAAGCTATACCTTATGCAGATATTTACAGTAAAAGTCATGAATAAAATTAATGTATCTTTATTGAGTGTAGCAATCTTGCTGATAGTTTCAATTTGAAATCCAGCCTCAAGGATCAGCTAACAGCTAATTGCTGAGTAAGTGCCGGTTGATAGCATTGCGGGCCATCTATTCTATCACTTTGTTGATGATTAAGATCAGGTTGGTGCAGCAGTGATTGCTTAATTAGAATTCATTCTGCTTTTTGTGGATAGTTGGTGTCTGGGCAATTTTCCATTTTGCTAGGTATATACCAGTGTTGTAGCTGTACTGGACCAGGTTGGTAAATGACATGATTGGTTTTGGACTACAGTTTTCAATACCATAGCAGATAACAGATAACAGAAGTATAAGCAGAGAATGACAGGAATCATACAAACATAAGAATGCACAAGCAAGTGACAGTGCAAATAGAAATAAATGGATATAATAGTCATTAACAGATATAGTTAGTCATTTGGTAGTGCAGAGTTAAATACTGCCAGAAAAGACATGTTTTCTTGAGGTTTTTCAACTTAGACTCACCAAGAAGAACACAAGAACATTAATGTACAAAGGAGTAACATTTTCATGCTGGATGAAAGAAGATACCGATTGCTTGGCAAGGACTCCGATTGGTAGAGACATTGCCCATGTAGAATGTACTGGATGAGTCACAGTTAATTTTCAAATTTTGTTTAGATTTAAACCGTGTAGATTGATTTTGATTGGCCAAGGCAATAACCTGAGAAATGAACCTGAGAATGGCCTATCGAACGGAATAAAACGGAATAGAATTTCTGTGAGGTTAGGAGACATAGAATGATGCCAACTAGCAGTAAAGTTGTTTCTCTTCTCTCTCTAGAAAAATACGTAAACTGTTCTAGAAATGTTGAAGTCTCCTGCTTCAGGCTTCCATGTTGGCATTCCTAAGTCAAATGGGTGATATATTGTGCCTTCTTATAGCGAGGGAAGTAAGTCACTGGTGGGAATAATTTATAATTATCTAAATGATAATTACACTGGAGTGGGGGCTTGTAAGAAAGATGCTACACTAAATATTGGTTAATTTAATCTTTATATAGATTATAATAACCAAATTGGTAAGATTAGCTTTGAGAGTCCTTGATCAATACATTTTTGAATCAACCAGGGAACAGGTTACTTTAGACCTTGTAAAGTGTAATGAGACTGGAATAATTATTTATCTCATGGAAAAGGATTCTTCAAGCAACAGTGTTCACTACATGATAAAACTTCACATTCAGTTTGAGGGCAGAAAGTTGTGTCTTAAACTTAAATAAAGGAAATGGCAGATGAGTTGAATAAATATTCTGTATCAGTCTTCACTGTAGAAGACACAAGAAGTATTTCAAAAACACTACACAATCAAGGGTCAAAAGAGGGAGAGGAAATAAATACAATAACTATCACTAGAGAAAATGCACCAAAGAAACTGATGGGAAAAAAGGTCGGTAAGGCCTCTGGCCTGATGGGCTGCATTACAGAATATTAAAGAAAGTAGCTGCAGAGATAATGGATGCACTGGTAGTAATCTTCCAAGAGACCTAAGATTCTAAAAAAAGTGCCAGAGGATTAGTGAACTGTCAAGAAGGAAAGGAGACAAAAAAAGGGTAACTATGGGCCAGTTAGTTTAACATTTGATATTGGGAAAATATTAGAGTGTATTATATAGGATATAATAACACAACATTTAGAAATATATAACATCATCAGGTACAGTCATCATGGTTTCACGATGGGGAAATCATGCCTGACAAACATACTAGAATTCTTTGAGGATGTAACAAGCAGGATAGATAAAGGGGATGCAGGGCATGTACAGATTGGGAATTCTTTATCTGAAAATCTTGGGATCAACAGGTTTTCAGATAAATTATAATTTCAGTTTTCACATATACTTACCATTATAGTTCTGTTTGGGTCTTTTCGGGATCTTTGGGAAAAAGAAGTCTTCTCTCACGTCTGAGAGATAGTAGGAACTGCAGATGCTGGAGAATCTGAGATAACAAGGTGTAGAGCTGGATGAACACAGCAGGCCAAGCAGCATGAGAGGAGCAGGAAGACTGATGTTTCGGGCCTAGACCCTTCTTCTGAAGAAACATCAGTC